GAAGTTTAATATCTTAAATAAAGAGCATGTCTTACTACAAAATAAGCTTGATAGTCTTCAAACTTCTCCATACTCTAAGTGTGAACACTTACAAGCAATAAAAAATGAAAATTTGTTACTTAAAGAGACCATAAACAAGTTTAAGGTCGGTAGCAAGGGATTGGATATGATCCTTGGAAACAAGGGTCACGTCGCAAATAGAAGTGGAATTGGTTTTGTGAGAGGATCTTACCAAAATTCTATCACTTTCATTAAATGACCCACATTACACGTTTCACCTTGTTTGAAATGCAACTTTTGTTGTAAATCCGGACATGTTGCTTACAAATGTTCATTTAGGAAAATTAGTCCACATAAGTTGATATGGGTTCCTAAATGAGCTATAAATACTTCAATGATGAATAACAAAATTGGTAGATCAATTTTTGAGGCACCCAAAATCAAATGGGTACCTAAAAACTATCCTCTTTTGTAGACAAACTCACAAGCTAGGAGCAAGAGATGATGTCTTGATAGTGGATGCTCAAGACACATGACTGGAGATCCATCTCATTTCTCTATGCTCACTAGCAAAGAAGAAGGGTACTGTCACCTTCGGAGACAACAACAAAGGCAAAATCATTGGCAAGGGAACCATAGGCAACAAATCATGTTTTCCAATTGATGATGCATTGCTAGTTGATGGATTAAAACATAATCTTTTAAGTATTAGTCAATTATGCTATAAAGGTTACATCGTTAGATTTGAATCTAATGCGTGTATTATTGAAAAATCAAATAATAACTTGTCAATGATTGCTTTAAAACAAAATAATGTCTACACCATCAACCTTGATAAACTAAGTAATGAAATGTGCTTCTCCGCTTTAAATGATGATCCTTGGCTTTGGCATAGGAGATTAGGCCATGCAAGTATGAAACCAATATCTAAGATCTCATCTAGAGAATTAGTACGAGAGATTCCCAATATGAAGTTTGTTAAGGACAAAGTATGTGATACGTGTTAACTAGGTAAACAAATAAAAACTAGTTTGTCTAGGAGGAAGCAAATATGCTTTTGTAATTGTAGATGACCATACTAGATACACTTGGACCTATTTCTTGGCTCACAAAAGTGATTGTTTCAAATGTTTCTCTAAATTTTGTAAACTCACTCAAAACGAAAAAGGCTTCATGATTTCATCAATTTGGAGTGATCACGGTGGTGAATTTCAAAACCATGACTTCCAAAGTTTTTGTGAAGTTAATGGATATAACCACAACTTCTCCACTCCAAGAAATCCTCAACTAGCAATGCATCATCAATAAAGCCAACAGTGAATTTCAAAACCATGACTTGCATGGCCTAATCTCCTATGCCAAATCCAAACATCATCATTTAAAGCGGAGAGGCACATTTCATTACTTAGTTCATCTAGGTTGATGGTGTAGACATTATTTTGTTTCAAAGCAATCATTGACATGCTATTGTTTGGTTTTTCAATAATGCACACATTAGATTCAAAGCTAACGAAATAACCTTTATCGCATAATTGACTAATACTTAAAAGATTATGTTTTAATTCATCAACTAGTAATACATCATCAATAGAAAATTTTAATTTGTTACCTATGGTTCCCTTGCCAATGATTTTGCCTTTGTTGTTGTCTTCGAAGGTGACGTACCCTTCTTCTTTGCTAGTGAGCATAGAGAAATGAGATGGATCTCCAGTCATGTGTCTTGAGCATCCACTATCGAGATACCATCTCTTACTCCTAGCTTGTGGGTTTGTCTATAAAAGAGGATGATTTTTACGTACCCATTTGATTTTGGGTGCCTCAAGAATTGATCTACCAATTTGGTTATTCATTATTAAACTATTTATAGTTCCTTTAGGAACCCATATTAATTTATGTGGACTAATTTTCCTAAATGGGCATTTGTAAGCAATATGTCCGAATTTACAACAAAAGTTGAATTTCAAACAAGGTGAAACATATAATGTGGGTCCTTTAATGAAAGTGGTAGGATTTTGGTGAGATCCTCATACCAAAACCAATTCCACTTCTATTTGCGACGTGACCCTTATTTACAAGGATCATGTCCAATCCCTTGCTACTGATCTTAAACTTGTTTAAGGTCTCTTTAAGCAGTAAATTTTTATTTTTTATTGCTTTTAAATGTTCACACTTAGAGTATGAAGGAGTTTGAAGACTATCAAGCTTATTTTGTAGTAAGACATGCTCTTTATTTAAGATATTAAACTTCTTATTAATAGTTCTACACTCATCAAATAATTCGTGAAAAGCGATAGAAAGTTCATCGAAAGATAAATCTTCATTAATTAAATCACATACCTCTTCTCCTAAATCCATTAGCGCAAAGTTTGCCTTCTCTTTATTGTTAGCTTCTTCACTTTCGGAATCGTCCCAAGTCGCTTTTAGAGCTTTCTTCTTCTTTGGTTGCTTCTTCTTGGCTTGGGGGCATTCATTTTTGAAGTGCCCCAGCTTCTTGCATTCGTAGCATATCACTTGGTCCTTTTTATGTTCAAGTCTGTTTTTAGTGTTATTTTTAATTTTGCTCTTTCTTATAAATTTTTAAAATTTTTGAGTTAAATGTGCAATGTCATTGTCACTGTCCTCATCACTTGATGTTCCTTTCAAGTGGTCTTCTTGTGATGTGAGCGTCATATCCTTCCTGTTCTTTGGAAGGGGGTTCTTGAGCTCCTCATGAGCATGACACGTCATTTCGTAGGTTACTAGAGACCTAATAAGTTCTTCAAGAGGAAATGTTTTAAGGTCCATGGTCTCTTAAATGGCCGTAACTTTTGGATCCCAACTTTTAGGAAGGGATCTTAAGATTTTAGTTACAAGTTCAAAGATAGAAAAATCTTTACCAAGAGCTTTGAGTCCATTGATGACATCCGTGAAACGGGTGTACATGTCTCCGATGGACTCACTTGGTTTCATTCGAAAAAATTCGTAAGAGTGCACAAGAATGTTGATTTTGGATTCTTTCACTCGGGTAGTGCCTTCATGAGTGACCTCAAGAGTTCTCCAAATATCAAAAGCAGAATCACAAATTGAAACGCAATTGAATTCATTTTTGTCTAATGCATAAAATAGGGCATTCGTAGCCTTTGCGTTTAAAGCAAAAACCTTCTTCTCCAATTCATCCCATTCACTCATCGGAAGAGAAGATTTTTGAAATCCATTTTCGACAATAGTTCAAAGCTCGAAATCCATGGAAATGAGGAAGATCCTCATACGAGTTTTCCAATACGTGTAATCCGACCCATTAAACATAGGTGGACGTGTAATAGAATGACCCTCATGCATGCCGGAGTAAGCCATCTCTCTTGGGTATTAAACCAAATATGAGAGTGAGCCTAGCTCTGATACCAATTGTTAAGATCGGAGCGGCACTAAGAGGGGGGCGGGGTGAATTAGTGCAGCGGATTAAAACTTGTAAGTTTGAAAATGAATTCATAAATGCGAGGAGATTTCGATTCGACGGTAACTTGAGTAAAGTGAGAAGATGAAAACGAAAGCTTGCTATAGTGTAAATAACAATTTCAAAAAGGTAAGTACTCACACATTCAAGGAACTGACCAATTTAAAGTGGTTTGGTCAAATGACCTACATCCACTTGCGAAGCCTTCTTCGATGAGGCTCCCAACTTCCACTAGCAAATCACTTTGAAGGGGAAGGACAAATACCCCTCTTACAACCTTTTACAAGTGGTTCACACTCTTACAAATTTTCAACGAAAAGGAAGGAGGTGAACACTTAAGCAATTGAAAACAAGGCTTGCTAAAGACTTTGCTAAGACTTTTATCTTAATCTATTGCTTCTCAAAAAGTTGTATTCTCTGCTGAGAATTGAGGGATATTTATAAGCCCCAAGAGGATTCAAATTTGGGCTCCAAATTTGAATTACCTTTGGGTTTCCCAATGCTGGCGGTGCCACTGCCTGTCAGTGTCTGACAGACAGTGTACTGGTGGTGCCACCGCCCAGTCCGGCGGTACTACCGCCCGACCTTTTGGGTTACTGGTTGGGCTTCAAATCTGGCCTAAACCAGGTCATATTCGGGCCCAATTGGCCCCTAACCAGGATATAGGATTATCCCTTAATCCTAATCCTACTTACATGCAAACTACGTAACTGAAAACATAGTCTTAAGCAAGTTTTTAATTGGCAAACGTCGAGTCTCCTTCCGGCGAGCTTTCCGGTGATCTTCCGATACACCCTCGGATTTCTTCCGGCGGACTCCTAGTAGGCTCCCGATCTTGTGGCGAGTTCAGCGAGTAGCCGAGCCTTCTCGGTGATCTCCGCGAACCTCCGACGATCTCTTCGGCGGACTTCCGAAAACTACGACAAGTCCTCGATTTCTTCTCGGTTGGTTCTGGCAGTATCTCCGACGAATCTTCGGACTCTCGAACACCCATCGAACTTGACTCCGGTAGATTTCCTTTTTGTTTTCAGGCTATCGTAGTTAATCCTGCACACTTAACTCAATAATATGGATTAGATCAACTAACCCATCAATTGATTTCATCATCAAAATCCGAGATTCAACACAATCAACTATGAACATTTTGTTTGTTTTAGGTTGCATGTACTTGGGACAATTTTGGGATGCAAATCTTTGTGATGGCTTTAGTCGAAAGAGTACTCGATGTGGTAGTACACATCAGGTCATCAATCACATTTCCACAATCTTATATTTTACTTCATGTTTTTAATAGATGTTGTGTTTGGGTTGGAAGCTGCAACCACTATTGTCATGCATTTTGCACTTTTTATTGATGAACAGAATGACCAGGTCTTGTTCTTCCTTTGATGAATGAAGTACAGCTTTACAGTATAATGTTTTGGTTTGTTGATCACTTGCGTCTAGATAAATTTTATCAGCTAATAACAATGAACTTTGTCCAAAAGCCTTTGCTGGTTAATGCTATGATCAAGTCACTTAATTTTTTAGCTATTTATGTATAAAATGGCTCATTTGTACCTTGCAGATCCGTTTCATGAGGTGAAGAGAAGGGACAGGAAGAAAGAGGTATGTGTGGGCCATATTTTTTCTTGTCCCTTAGTTTCTACTGTATATCAGGGTTTAGACATTTTTGTTTTTCTTCTTTAAACTATGTTATACTTTTTATTAGTTATTATCCATTGCATTTCTACAAAAATATGTTAAATTTGCATTCATGTAGTTATGTCACTTGTTTCTGAATTTATGTTCTTTTCTTTCTTTTGGGTCATGCTTTTGGTTGCTGCCCATAATTTCTCGTATGCGAACCCTTCCTTTGAAGATTTATGATGGTCCCTTATCATTTTGTCATGATGTCCATGTTTTGATTTCTATTGCATTTATATAAATTAGGCTTAAAGAGACAGGAGATCCTGTATGGTAGAATGCTGGAAATACAACTGGCCGGAGTAGTGAATGGTGGAAAAATGACACAAACTCTAGCTATGGCTGGCCATTTGTCGTTGAACACTCTGATTTTAAATGTCAAACTGTTTATGAATTTTTTATTCTGGCAACTTTATGTCGCATGCATTGGATGCTTTTGCGATGAATTTTGTTTCAGTTCTTTTAAATAGCTTGCATTCCATATTTCTATGACTTTGCCTTCATATCTTGATATTATCTGTTACAGAAATCATATGCCTTAATAATCTGTTGAAATTACGTTAATTGATTCAAGCATATTGTGTATAATATTTTATTTACATCACAAGTGATCTTGCTTTAAATATTTTTTTGGTACTCATTAAAACATCCTCCATAGGCTCAGCACACAGGTTACAGAGGTTTTGCTGATACTAGAAAGCAAGTGGAGCAGAACATTCCATCGGGAAAACTATATAGATTGTGGAATCAAAATTCTCATAGAGGAGGGTTTACTCGGAATTTGGTTCCTGGTAAATGCATAGTGATCTCAGGTTTTCTTATCGATTTTTTGCTATAAAGAAAGTAAGAATATTGTTGTAGGTACTCCGAGAAAGATCAATACCAACAAAATCAAGTAGATGGTATATGAGTTCCCTCTTGTTTCTTGATTGATTTAGTCATAACAGGTAGTTGTTTCTGTTGTTCACCAATTGTTTGCTGTTTGGTTCTCTTTCAATTTTATGATCTTCATAAAAATTGAAATGTGACAATTAATGATCATTTTTTCATTACAGTTTATACTTTTTCTCTTTTGACATTTAAAGCAAAATTGTGCTATGCTACTTTGTGCTGTAAATACAAGTATCAGTTTAAAGGACTTAAACTACATTTTAGTTAGGTTTTTTTAAAGTGTAATATTCTTTATAGGATTCTATTTGAGTTCTGTGCTCTTCCATGTGTAATCCTGTTGCTTTGCTATCTCATGTCCACTAAATAGGACTCACATTTTATGAAGGCATTCTTGATCTTCTTCACATATTGTTGTGGTAGGTCTGTATTCTAGGGGTTATTTTACTTTTCCCCAGGCCATTTATCATGAGGTGCTTCCTTAATAAAAAAAATAGAAGATAGGTTAATGTCTTTTGGCTTAGGCTTTAGAGCAGCACCTTTTCCATGAGTCCTTTTCCAGTATTAGCAAATAGAAAGATACTTGTACTTGATTTTTCTCCCGTTCCAATTGGTTGGTATACTTCTGTATGTGGGAGTGTGTGAATATAACCTTTGGCAATATTGATTCTATTTGTACTTCTTATATGTTGTTTCTTGTCTTTTATTTGAAATATAATTAAGGATATTAACCAAAACAAAAATATATTATTTAGAGTATTTGATCATTTATTTGCAACTGTAGTTCACCATCATATTTTGCATCATGTCATGATTTGAGAGCTTTGAAACTTTTACTATTATATTTATTTATTCAAATCCTATATAGTGTACTGGACATCAAAAGAGAATCTCTGACGACAATTTTTTACTAGATGCAGGAATCAGTCACGAATTCCGCATCGTAAGGGACAACAGAGTGAGCCAAAATGTTAATAAGGATGCTTTGCAAGAAGAAAATAAGCAATTAGTTCCTGGCAATGAGCAAACTATGCCAGATGTTCCAGAGAAGAGGTATAATTATCTCATCTTTGCATTTGCTTATTTAAGTTTAATTCATTTTTTGCTTTGGTATCTTGGCTTGGTAATATGTTTTGCTGTCTAACAAAACAAGATATATTAGATCACTCTGGGGGTTCTCATTAATAATTTCTCCCTATAGCTCTACCAGAGTTCCCTCTGATCAAAAGCACTCTGTTTCTGCAAATTCAGACGAGTGTCTTATATCAGCATATTTTGATGAGTCCAGTCATGTACCTGATTATGTCCAAGATGAAAAGTCAAGTGGTACAAAAAGTCCATCACAACAGGACAAGTGTGAAGCAATAGCATCTGTTGTACAGAATGAAACACAGACTTCAGGGTTACCAAATAGCTTTATTGGGATGTCCTCTTCATCTTCAGATCCAGTTCATGTTCCATATCTTGATTCTGCATCAGCTGGTAAAGTGGGGGCTATTCAGCACGAAGTTGGAGTAGTTGGCTTTCGAAGACAGACTTCTGATCATCCTGAAAATCGTTCATCTGTTTCAAATAGCTTCCTCTCAAGTTCTTTATCAGGAAAGAATATTTGTTTCTCAGTGGAATCAACTGGACATCAGGCTTACACATCTAAGAGTCATTCACTAAACCAAATTTCTCCATCAGCCGCCGATCTGTATAGCACGTCCTTAAGCATACAATCACAGGGTTTCTACCACAATAGCAGATTACACCAACAGTCTCTGAGTCAGCAGAAAGGTATTATTTCTTACCTTGTGCGCTAAAACTTAGCTGAGGTACATGTGGTTTTTGGGTGTTATATGTCTCCACTGATGTCATATGTCTCCACTGATTGCCTATGTCCTGCCATTACCATTGAGCTGTTATGTAATATATATTTTATGCACAAAAGTCTATAATAGTTTCTTATAGTGTATGCATTCTATTAATAATAGCAAAGAGTTACCATGTATGATAATTTGCATAATCTGTTTGCAGTTCATGCACATTACATGCACAATTTCACTTGTTTAAGCAGAATCGTGATGTACTCTTACAATGAATTTGCTGTTTCAGTTAGTAAATTCTGTTATATTTAATATTTGCAAGATTGGTGTAATTGGCTTGGGATGATTTATATTGAGTCGGTAAGATTGGTCGGATCAGAATGACAAGATAAGAAATGGTCAAGACAATAATTAAAAACTTTATACTATATAGAACAGCAAAATATTTATTAAAAACAACTTTGGTAAAACTATGAGATAAACAAAATTATGGCAGACCTTTTGCACCAGTCATTCTAGTCAGGGGACTAAGACACGTACTAGTATAATTTACCACAGCCAAGCTTCTGGGATTTTAATGAAACAATGAAGGTGGGTTCTGGTGCAGAATTTGGGCTTAATTTTGAGTTTTTAGTATTCTCTGGTAAATACAATTTCTAACCAACTGAAAATTGAATTTTTTTTGTTATGCTGGTGTTGCTGTGTCCTGATGTGATTTGCTCTGCAAAGCTATTCAGCCCATCATGAAGTGGAAGCCTAAAACTAGACCAAAACCCAATATTGTCAACAATGGTGTGCCTGGAATTACTTCAGCTTCTCCATCTTGTGCTGTTAGTTCTTGTGTCTCACGACCAGTGGGAAAAACCAGATCTGAGAAATTGTCACAAGATTGTAGTTTGGATAGTCAACATGTGATCATACCACAGCATCTTCTAGTGCCACAGTCAGAGTGCATGCAGCTGATATTTGGAAGTTTTGGTACTGGGTTTGACACATCCAAGGGGTTTGCCTCTGTTCCTCATCAATCAGGAAGTGCAGAGCAGTTGGATGACGAACCTTCTGACAGGTGTTTACACCTTCTCTTTAGTTTTTTGTTGTGGTTTTAGTGAGTTATTGCTGCTGGGTTTTAACTTTTAATTTAATAAGAAATGGAATATATCATACTATTTTCAGTATTTTTATAATGTAGATTCCACCAAGATCGTTAAAGAACTGGTAGAAAACTTAAGACACTGATCTCCTTGATGCTACTGAAATTCTTGGTTTGGTTTAATGTCTTGCAGCTTGCTTTCATTTATATTACAAATAGCATACTTATAAGAATTTTAAAGTTTGCTGGCAGTATGTTTGCACCAGTTCCAGTGGAAAATGTAATTTCTGCAGTTTGCAGGGACAGTCTGCATGACCAGTCTAGTACTTCGCCATGTGGCTCTTCTGTGTCAGCTGCAGAATCACAGGAGCCACCACCTGAAAATAATGGTTGTTTAAGTCCTCAAACTATTCAGACTTATGATGATATTAGATTGGTGGAGAGCAACAGCCCTCCTTTCAATACACAGGAAGAGCAGCAGCTACAAAATCCTCATAGCTTGCCAAGTTTCTCGGTGAGTCAATCATCACTTAAACTAATTTTAGGAGGATGAACTTTTTCTTGGTGTACTGCCTTAGATAAGTAACCCATGAATTTTTTAACATAGCCTTAAAGGTGAGAAGCAAGTGCTTCAGGACAAATACATTAGAAAATGGATAGTTATCTTCTGGTTGATTTACTGTTGTATAACTACATCTTTCTTCCTAAAAATCAAATGGAATATCTGAAGTTAGCAATCTCTTTCAATGTGAAACAGGCATATGACAACCAAAGTAGTTATGATGTCCCATTTTTCAAAACAGTAATGCAAGATAATGTACATGCCCAAGGTTCAACTTCATCATCAGAGGTACTTGTTGACCTGATTTTGTGACTGCCCTTTGCTGTATTTTGTTTTCCAAATACATACGCTGGCCATTTTATTTTATTTAGGAGAGACATCATTATATTTCTTGTACAAGTACTTTCAATATAGCAAAAAAAAGGAAAGCATATTATTCTTTTTTATTCACCATTTATGGTCACAATATCTGTATGCACTTCATTATTTTTATGGAATAAGCCTCATTACTTCATTTGTCCTTCCAGTAGTAATTTATTTTCATAGATTCTGTCCTATTAGCATTTTCAGACTTCGATCATGCTTTGCATTTTCTCCAGCAGGTCTTGAGTTTTCATGCCGCCTGTAGCAGTTTTTCTAGTTTGGCCATGGCACAGCAGCAACAACTTGTTCAACAGCAGCAGCCGATTGTGCAGCTGTACCCACAAATTCATATGCCCCATTTTCCAAACTTTGTGCCTTATCGTCACATTATTTCTCCAGTTTATGTTCCACAAATGGCCATGCCAAACTATGCCAGCAACACTGGGTATCCTCATCCCTCCACTGTGAATAGTTATGTTCTGATGCCTGGAGGAAGCCCACACATGCTGGCAAGCAAGTGTGCAACCACACAGTATAGACCAATTGCTGCTGGCAACCCAACCGGGTGTGGAACCTACACCAATCCTGCTAGTTTTGCCATCAGTTTCCCTGGTGCTGTCAGTAACACAACAAGCCAAGAAGACTTGAACAGTGTCAAATACAAAGACAACAATGTCTTTGTTCCAAACCCACAGGTATAGTTTGAACTGCAGTTTGGTTATCTCTATTTACAATCTCAATTAAATTTGTATTATGTGCTTAAGAGCACTTATCTAGCATGAAGTGAAACCACCTAGTTTTGTTTAAAAGTCTATGCTTTACCATTATGCTTGTACATACTTTTGCTAGCGATCATTTCTTGACTCACTTTGGTTGATGCTAGTTTCCTTAGTGTAAATGCTTTCTGCTATTATGGAACTGGCATTTGAGGATTTATTCCATTTTGTTGGTTACTAAGAATTTCTTTTAGTTTTTGGTTCTTCTCTGAACATAGGATCCTCAACGTGTTCTCTTTCTTGTTGAAACTGGTTTAAGTCAATTGCAGCCGGAGACTTTGTTCTTGCAATTGTAATAGTTTTATACATACATTTACTTGATTCGAGATACACTATAACAGTGTCTGGTGTCTTTCTGCAGTTGGACACATCTGATAACTGGATTCTGACGTCACGAGAGCTTCCAAACTTACAGTCAGCACCATATTATAGCCTATCAGGGCAAGCACTACAATCAGCATTCTTGCCTGCCCATGCTGATCATGCTGTTTTTAATGCCACACGAAATACTTCTCATGTGCAGTACCCAGGCTTGTACCCTCAACCTCAGCCAACCTCCATGGTGAATTCACATCACTTGCTGCAGCAGCAGGTCCCACCAGCCATAGGTGGGAGTCTTGGACTCGGCATCGCATCTCCTGGGCCACAGGTTGGTGGTAACCGTCAGCAGACCCAGCTTGGACACCTCAACTGGGCAGCCAAATTTTGAAGGAAGAAATCAGTTTGTTGTTAGGGCTGAAGTAGGTTTATATATGCATAAATGCATAAGTCTTGTTTGTAATGGAAAACAAGCTTTTCACATTTTAATAACTGGACAGTTTTTCTGAATCAGTAGAGCTTTACTTCTTGTTTTCTTTTCATTCTTGTATGGTCTAACTGGCAGCCAGATCACAAGACCTAATCAATTTGTACAGGCCATGGTGAACAAGCTTTGGTAATTAGACGACGAGACTTACCCTATCATACTTTGTGAAGCAAAGATGGTAAAGAAAATTTACTGGATTCTTGCTTTAGCATTCTTTAACCTGGCATATTCTTTTATAATTGCTATCTATTCGTTCTGATCCACAGGAAAAAGTTTGCATGTGCATCAGAATCATAGTTTTTGAGTGTGTGGGTTTCAGGTCAGTTCTCTCTAGGCAGCCATTATAATGTTGGACATTTTGATATTATCTTGCCACGGCATTCTTGACTTTCTTGCATCATGTCCATATATGCTTGCTAAAGAGACTGGAAGCTTGTAAATTTTCATGATTCATAAGTGGTTGATTATACTTTGCAAGCGAAATTTTCATGATTTTATTGTAGATCATATCCCATTTTCTTCCATATGGTCCTTTTGAATGGATTCTATGGCATTCTCTATTATTGGGTGTCTTATTTCTGAACATTACACAAGAACACATACGTTTTTTTATAAGTGCAAAGAATGAAAACTATATGGATAGGCTGCATCGGTGGATCTCAATGGAAGGAAGAAACAGTTTTAGCTATTCAGGTAGTGTTTTTAGATTTTAGAGTAGTACTTTAAAACCATATTGAAGAGGAGAGGACTAAGTAATATGCAAGAGGTCGGCAAAGCACTCCTCTATAATCTTAGAGTACCATTATATATACAGTTGCAAGTTTTTTAAATGGATAAGGATGTTATTACAAAAGGATAAATCCTCAAATAAAGGCTAACATAGTCAATAGATTGAGTTAATTATTGGAAAATTTAATTATTATCTGCTAGTTGATATGATTTGTTTCATTTGTCATTGTGATGCATGAATTTTGCTGTGACATATGATCTATTTCATTTGTTATTATAGAGAATGAGTTCTCTCCTATGACTTATTGTGGATAACACGTTTCATTCAACATGTTAAATTCACAATGGAAGATGTACCATCTATCGAAATTATATTATGAATCTAACAAAAGAAGTCCTAAAATTTTTAATTTTTAAGTATTACTCGTCCAATTGAATAGGGATCAAATTCAAACTAGTACATGAACATATCAATTTGCTTCTAGTTTTTTTAGTTAATGTTCTCTAATAATATGAAATCTACTACTCTTTCGAAACACTTGACTGATGCTTTAGTATCAGAAATGATTTGATGTAAATTTGCAGCTAAATATTCATTTCTTGACCATTGTTAAGGATATCATATATGATGTATGATACACAATTTTTCTTTTTGGATACATGATACACAATTGAATAAGATGAATCTTATTCTTAAATTTTCATGGCTAACATAATATTGTTGAAAATGGATCATCTTGATGATTTTGAGAAAATTGGTGACCATTGAAACCGATCAGAGCTAGGTTTAAAACTGACACAGTTGCCTGCCTCATCTTAGGATCTATCTATGAGGGCTGTGAGCAAGTTGATTATCGAGGTTAGTACTAAATAATCATATTAATTAGTGAGTTGTGACCCTTAAAATCCAAACTTGGGAATGTTCGCCAATAAAAAATAGACAATTATGAACTGACTTTGAGTTAATCCATCAAGATGTTCATAGATAGCTTGGCTTCTTTGTAACCCTAGTTGGTACTTTCTTAGGCCGGGAATAAGGTTTTTAATTTATGGTACAAAGTTTGATCTTATCGACTTGGGAATATCATGAATAGCAATTTATTACAATTATGAAAACAACAAGATTAAGGAAAGGAGGAGATGTAAAGTGAATAGATACATAATCCTCTTCTCACTGTAAGACTAAAGGAGAAAAAAAAAAGGGAAAGAATGATCATGAAAACATTTACACCATCAACGAGTCAATGCTAAACTTACCTTTTTACTGTGGGTTTTTTAAGGTGAAATTTGAGAGGTAAAATGGCAGGGACATCTAGTACTTGGTCTAGGTGGAAAAAGTGAGGAGACTTGTAGTACAGGAGCAGATAGTAGCAGCATATGCTTTCTTGTGGACTCCAATAATTGTTTCGTGACAAGAAAGTCTTGAAAAATTCTTAAGAGGATGGTTTTATTTTTCTTCTTTCCAGGTGTTGAATGTTTTAATTGTTATACACTGGGGATTTTCCTACACCAGAAAGTTATGTTTTCTATCGAATATTCTAAATGTTTATGAACAAATTATGGTTATGTAGGACAGAAGAATGATGCAGATGGAGGACACAAATAAAGAGGACAGTGACAGACTTAATTAGTTTGTCCAACTAATTACTGCTGCAAAAAAAACATATTATTTGCAAGGAGACACTGTGAGGGACAAAACATAATATGTTTGGTCCATCAAACACTTGTCAGAACTCTTCTGTGTAGCAGCTGACATCAGTACATAGATGAAATTGTAATGACTGTTTGAGCTTTTTAGAGGGACAGAGATTCCTTCAAATGTGTTACCGGTGATTTCCTTACCTTGTGAGATGACAAGGAATCGATTCAGGTGGATCCACAGTGTCAAAAAGTTTGGTGACTTCAATTTTGACCTATTTTTTGCACATTTCAAGTTTGTCTTGTCCTGCAGAAGAAATTTTTTCTCCCAGGCTCTGCCAATTTCTGGATCTACTGTGACAAAAAAGAAACCACCTTAGAGTTATGATGTGATCCAACTCTTCTTCTTGTTCTCTCAATGAGGGTTCTCCAGGATAGCCAAAGTGAGGCTACTCCATGAACAATCTTTTTTGGGGCTTCAAACTCTGTATACTCTTAATCCTTCAAGAACATTGTCTGATTTCATTTGATGTACAAACTACATAACCTTTGCCAAACACCAATCAGAATTCTTCAATGCAGGCACAATTTGTACTCATCTACCAGGTTAGTTCTTAGTCCTCTCATCAAATGAAGCTTACACACTTTGTTCCATAATAATAATATGCATGATTTATAATTTCAACCTTCAAAATATTCAGATTGGAAATCACAGCAGCAGCTTCACTATCTTGATCAAATTTCTTCTGCAAACATCCGCTTATAAAAAAAAGCATCAGTATGATCTGTAGCGCCGTAGCAAAAAGATGCAATTTGATTCAGCTCATATTGTTCTATGGGAAGCCTTCGTTTCAAGACCTACTGCTTCAAAAGTAGGGGTGATGACATGGACTTTCGGCACCTCATTACTTTCCAAGTAATCAATCCTCACCCGAAGCTTTTCTTAGATTCCCCACCGGCACCATGGTCGGTCGTACGTGTCGCTTCTGGATTGGTCACTCCCTCTATTCCAGCAGCCCTGGGCCATGCAACACTTTGGACCTATCTTTCCGGCCTCTGAATTGTTGGAATTCCCACACCCCCAAGTAAAGTCTCTCTCTCTCTCTCACTCTCTCTCTCTTAGCCTCCCTCTCTATAGTTGCTTACTTGAGGCTTTAACCTCTATAAAAGGCCACATACTCACCCTGTCTCTCCCGTGTAGAAAGATATAGAGGAGAGAGCAATGGCTAATGGTTACTACTACCAAAGCGGTCCTTACTACTACAATCCTTCTTACGCCCAATCTCCTCCCCTGCCACTCCACCTCTGCTTCTTCCTCCTCACGCTCTTCATGTTTATAGGCCTCTCATGGTACATGACCTACGAGTCGGTGTTCGAGAGCTTGTTCAACCAGATCAAGCTGCTGCTCATGGTGTCGCCGCTGCTGCTGCTTCTGGTCGTCCATTGGCTGTCGAACGACCCTCGGCGAAGGGTGTCCTTCTTTGCCCCCTTGGCGGAGAGGGACACCTTCCACCGGGACGGCGGATCCCCGTGGGGCGTCGCGCTTGCTTTGGTGCTCCTCATGTTCATGATCTCCTACCAGTCCTACTTCCACGACCGGTGGTTCCCCCTGCTAAGTCGATAATGTCGTCGTATCATCCATGGCGTGGTTGCAAGAAGAAGACGAAGAAGAAGCGGCTAGTTTTTGGAATGGTCTTTAGATACTTACTTATGTATGTCGTTCGACTAGTAAGATGATGCTGTCTATTCTGCATATGAATTAAGGCATAGTTCTTTGCCATCTTTACGACTTGTATCTACATGAATGCTGGAATTTGAGGAAGAGTGCATCTACTCGAATCATCGAAACAAGCTCCAAGTGTTCACGGATCACTACTTTTAAGATAGTATGGTAATACGGCATGATCCGAGAAACAAAGCAATATATAGCTTCATACTAAGCAGATGATCTGGTAGAGACGACAGGAGGATTTTTGGCTTGGCTGCCTACATTAAAAGCTGTAGGGTTTCAGACAAGTATGGCAGGACTCGCACCTCGGTAACTTTTACTGGGCCATGAGGTGTGTGTTTCCATGTTTTTGACGCTTGCTGTTCTTTTGGAACACAGGCACACAAGGATACAAGTCTTGAGCATGTTGATGCATCTCAGGTTCCAGGACAGCATCATGTGAGTTGGTCAGAAACAAGATGGAACTGCTATTTGTTTAGGTACGAAGCACGAAGGCTAGCTGACCTCACGGTTCATCCATGAACTGAGTTCATTAGTGATGGCCAAATGACAGCAGTGTGCTTAAGATTCATCTCATGCCTAACAAAGTACTCGGCATCTTTTCTTTGCACGGCAAATGCCCAATGAGAGTATGCCTATAGAGTCATCAGGTCACCTGTCACATACTTATTTACAAGCATTCTATATGTGTGTCTGTGAGAGAGAGAAAGAGATGTCCCATAACTAAAGTGCTGCAGATCGATGTAAATAAGCTTAAGCAGAACAGAAATATACTTGGAAAACTCAGGTCATGGTTTCAAATGTAAAATAAGTTGCCTCACTTCTCATACATGTATGTGTATATATATATATATATATGTGTGTATATATCCAAGCAACTAACAGTTATATGTATGTGTATAAACATAAATATATCCAAGCCACTAACGTATTTTTTATTTTATTTAGATGTTTAATATATCTATCCTTCCAAAGTTTGAAAATAGCATATTTGCCTCTTTAAATTTTAATATAGAATATATATATATATATGTATATATGAATTTTACTATTTTCATATCGATATATATGCTATATTTTTGAAGAGTGTTAATGTTTTTTTTGTGCTCTAGCTTAAATATTTAAATAATAGTAGATTAGAAATGAAAGTAAAGTCGCTTTTCGCATTCGTTTGCTATGGCATTGGCGAAAGAATAAAACATATATGATTCTAAAATCAAAAACTAAAAATATATGTTTGAAATAAACATTTATATGTAACCGAAAAGAATATCAATTTATTCCCATTGAAGTAAATAGAAGATTCATTAAATATATTTTCGACATGGTTTCTGATCTGATGAATTTATAGATTAACTACACTGACACATCTATAAATTTCAAACTTTGCAAGCATAATTATGCCAAACTTAATATTCTAATCAATTAAATTGGCAAGCTTACAGTGCCTTATTGAAATATATATTTTTAATATTTTTCTTGATTTTATAATCATATATTGTTTGATACACTGTTAAGAAACCTGTCTTAAAGATTTATAGAGTGGTTTTCTTTAAAGAAATACTTGATAATTTTAATCAACAGCATAATCTAGAACTCAAATTTGAAACTTAATCTCATTATTTTTATTGCATAGAACTGCAATGGTTAAAAGATTATTTGCGAATAATGGAAAGTAAGACATTCATTCATCAATTACGAAGGTTTACGCATATGTTTTGCTGGGAAATTTCTGTTCATGGTCGATTCTCGGTGCCTCTTTCGGCACATGATGCCAAGGAGACATAAAGATGTGGATGATTGCAGCAAAAGAAAGAGGAAAAGAGCTGCCAGTGAATCCATCGACCTCAGGAGGATGTTGTACATTTATATATAGAGTGGAATGTAGATAATGAAAACAAAGAAATGGCATCTGCTTCTCTTTTCCTTTAGGCTTGGATGGTGACCAAAGCAGGTGAGTCCTCCTCCACTGTGCTTCCCCCACATGCCTAATCTTCATTAGCTTTATAGTGATCTGTTCTTTCATCATTATGATAAGTGAATTGGGTTCATGTCATTGGTGCTAAAGGCACCTCCTTACCTTTGATTGTGCCTAAACATAACCCCATAAAATAATAATCTTGTCATTAGAAAATCATAAATAAATTTAGACCTGATTGGATTCGGGTTAGTAAATTCTGGAAACTCGATCCGCATTAGCAGTCGTCGAATCAGTCTGATTTATTATTTCATAAATAAATTAAATAAATAAACATTGTGCAACAATCAGAGTGGCGCAGCGGAAGCGTGGTGGGCCCATAACCCACAGGTCCCAGGATCGAAACCTGGCTCTGATATTTTTTTGAATTGATTTGACCGAGTCCCATGGCCGGACGGTGGAATGGGCTATCGAGCCGTCCGGGTGCACCGCGGCAAGGCCATGGCGGAGTAGGTGGTGCCGGACGACGCCTGCGAGCGGGCAGAGGCCCGGTTCTGGGCCAAGTCTGCCGACGACGGCGTGAGCTGCCTCACCGCTTCTGCTCTCGATCGTTTGGACGCTTACTGCTGCGTTTGATTCTTCTTCTGCCGATTTAATATGCGTTGATCACTGTACTGTTCTCCGCCGTCGGGGAGGTGCAGCAGAAGGCCGTACGAGAGGTTCAAGGCTCTCGAGGGGAAGCAAGCAGTTGTTCGGCGGCGGCGACGCCATAGGGTCCCGTGTTGGTTGCGCTCGATCGAGGAGATCGCCGGCGACCAGTCTCTGATGGCTGCCTGGTTCGATCGGCTTCTGCAAGCGGACGCGGTGAAGGAGCACACGGTGCATGTAAGATTGCGTCCATCGGGCTGCAGAAGGCTTATGTAGGAAGTCTATTGATTCGGCTGCATGCGAAATCCCACATTGGACGGCCATCCCCTATTGGTGGACGGTGTGAGCCCCACCTCTCCGACTGGTCGTCAGCGGCACGTACGGTCGGACCAATGGCGGAAGTCCACCTGGTGGAACGTCGCACGTTACCCCTTCTTGTTATTATTGTTGCTGTAAATATTACTGCTATTATGGCTGTTGTTATCTTTTGTGTTCGCTGCACTTCCTTTCATCCATCCCATGAATTACCTGAGAAGATTAAGCAAAGTGGCAGACAGAACCACACAAACATAAGCTCCTCTTTATTGCTTAGTCTCTTGAAAGGGAAGGGGGAGAGAGAGAGGGGGTGGGAAGGGGTTTTGCTGCAGCCTTCTGAATCCACACCTTCTCTCTTTATCTTCCTTTCTCTCTCCTCATCCATCTAATCTCTCCTTCTCTCCCCATCCCTTTACTATGAGGATCCGGAAGAGACCCTCTCTCACCTCCCTTCCTGTCTACCCAGATCCAACCCTCCGAGTCCACCCACCGAATGGGAGACATGCATATGGATCCAGGGATGACACCGGGGAAGGATCTTTGGGAGTACTGGAAGGGTTGCACCCGATTGGGGATCTGCCGGTGGATTCCCATGAGCCGGGGTGGGATCCCTATAGAAGCCCTGATCAGGCTCCTGCCTCTTCGGATTCATCTTTGGATTCGAGGATCAGCGGCAGCAGAGCGGCTTCTCGTCTCCTGACCACTCTTGAGCGTGCGCAGGTGCCTGCTTACCTCGACCTTCGCTTGCTTCTGTATGTCTCTGCTTGTTGGGTGCAATGTGGTGATTTATTGCAGGTGCTGAAGGAGGTGGAGGAAGAGGAGCCGACGGTGGAATCCAACAAAGGATGGAATGGCCAGGCCAATAGCAGAAAGAGGTAGGTGACTTGCCCCCTTTCCCCCTTTTAAGAATACCTCCCTTTTTGCATCACCACCGCTTGCGAGCAAAAGACATCAAAAAGGAAAAGCTTCCCATATATTTGCTGCCACTATATACCGTGCATGCACGCCAGCCTGACCAATCATGATAACCCATCCCCCATTCCAATCTAGTAATCCAAAACTCGCACACCTCTCCTCTTCCTTTTTGGTTCTGTCTACCACTTACTAGCTAGCTCGTTGCATAAGCGGGTGCGTCAAGATTCATATGTTTGATGCTCTGTGGTGCAACAATAGTTTCATGGATGAGATCTGCGCTCTGGTGTTCACTGTTCTTGTCTTCCACTTGGAGATCTCCTTGCCTCCCCAGGATCGGTGGCAGCTCGGGTGCGGTAGCATCGGGAGCAGCGTTGCTGGGGGAAATGATATCGACACAGAAGAAAACGAGAGGAGGGCGAGATGATGGACATGGGGATGGAAGACCAGAAGAGAAGATAACGGAGCAAGGGAGAAAGGCCAAGGCGAGGGCGAGAGCAAAGACTGGTCCTGCTCCAGCGAACAATAATTGCACCAGTCCTAACGATGGCGATAAAGAGCGACGCGATGGTGGGGTAGCAGTTGCGAGAGCGGGGAATGGCTCAAGTATCAAGGGGAAGAGACGGAGGAGCCCGGCGGTGCTGGTGGAGGGTTCGCGATGCAGCCGCGTCAACGGAAGAGGGTGGCGGTGCTGCCAGCAGACCCTCGTCGGCTACTCTCTCTGCGAGCACCATCTTGGGAAGGGAAGGCTCAGGAGCGTGAGCAGCGTCAGAGGCCAACTGGGCACGAGTCAGCCCAAATGGAGCGTTGATGGAAAGAACGGTGTTTTATCATCGACCTCGCCACGAGAGGATGAGGAGGAAGAGGAGGAGAGGAAGACGACAGGCATGGTGAAGGCTCGATCGATCAGCAGTCTGCTCGACGACACCAACCATTCGCTGCCGTCGTCGTTGCCATCACCGCCGCCGCCGGAAGTTGAACCGATGCCATCACCATCCCCACCCCACGTCAACGAGGCCGGCGGTGAGAGTCAAAGCAATGGACAATGCAGAAGAAAGAAGGAGAACAGGACCAGTGTGTGTAGTTAGTAGATCTTGGGAATGATGATGTGATGGGTGTTCCACGCATGCAGCTCCGATTGCACTCACATCTCGTCTCCCCTGTGGTAACTATTATTCTCCATGGCAATGCTAATGACTGCTACCGGTTAATTTCTATGGTTGTGATGGGTACATTTCTTTTATGTTCCTCATGGGTATGTGGGGTGAGTTGGCATCTCATGACCTCTGACGCCTAGACACAATTTAACCGATAGAAATGAATCGCCAGGACATGGTCGTTCAACATCGTAGTCGATGGAGTCTTTGGTCGTCCTAATGGATCGTGGTTTGGGTGGTCACAAACAAACATTTGGGGCCCATCAAATCGTCCACTTGCGGAGAATGTTTGGCTCCACCACATGTAACTGCGTGAGCTCACGTCCGTTTGTTTTCTTGTTGGCTATTTGGGGCTTTGGGAAACGAGTCAAAGAGTCACATAGATGATGTTAGAGTTGATGGGACCCATAGCAAAATAAAGCCCGCCTAATTTGGTTCTGAGAAACTAAGAATTGGATGTTTCAACAGACAAAATGTGAGCTGTAACAAATGGTCAGAATCCAGCCAAATCACAACTAAATAATAAAATGTATCAGAGCCAGGTTTCGATCCTGGGACCTGTGGGTTATGGGCCCACCACGCTTCCGCTGCGCCACTCTGATTGGTATGCACAATGCTGTTCAGAATTCTATATAGTAGATTATAGCAGCGCTTAATATCCTCTATGATATGTAAATATATTTAATTTAAGACATCGTCCTCGTTCAATCCGATGACTAATCTTTCGTCCCATGTGCATTTGCTCCTCTCCTAAGACAGAACAAATGAATAAATCATTGTTTTTTTTTTTGTTAGATGCTATCAATCAAAGATCGACACATCTCAATCTTGTTTAGAAGATGTAAAGTTATTTAGGTGACTATCGTGGTTGTCGAGCGAGTCAATTGCTATAGGGAATGAGATGGCCGAGATGGATTTGAGGTGATCTTCGTGCATCCAATGTGGATTCTAATTTCCTTGAAGATCCTATATAAAGGTCGATGTTAAAAGGGGATTTATCAACCTGACCCCTCTAACGGTAAAGTTAGCTTTTCATAAAGTAATGAAAACGAGAGGGTTCAGGATTTCTCTATGCAAGCGCCAGGGACCCGTTCTTATACTTGAGAAGCTGGGGAGCTGTAGCTGATAGACAATCGATCTATATGCTCTTTTTCTGTCATTCATTATATGGAAGGTTGGTCTGTATAGTCCCCTATGACTTATCATTTGTAGAGACTAATAAAAAGGGGAGCCACTTATCAACCCCGGTGGTTGACAAGGTTGGCCTAAGTAGCTCTCAGCAATCTAACAATCTATCGTCTGTAGGGGCTGACCAAAGGGGGAGCACTGATCTGTTCATTCGTTCGGGGACCATTGCCCTCGATAACTCCTAAGGTCGGTTTGTACCATCAATCATGGACTATTGTCCATAACGACTAACAAATCGTCGCCCTACCATCGAGCAAGGGGGTGGGGCGATGACAAGGTCTTTGTCCTCTCCGTTAGATCTCTTGTAGTGTCGATCAAGCAGACTTGACATTAGAATATACTCTATCATTTATTTTTATAAGAAATAATTTAAAACATGATAAGAAGTCAACTAACAATTCATAAGAGTCGTCACTCATATAATTAAGATGTATTTTTAAGCGCTCTTAGTACCAATAGATTATAGACAGTTAAGATGTGATTGGATGTTCGAGGCAACCGTGAGAATGGATGAGAGAATAAGACATATGAGTTACTGTTGTCCGACATGAAGAACTCACTTTTATAGTTTAAACTTATTTGATAGAGACAAAAGTGGTTGCTTTTTATGATGTACGAAGATGAATCACATGAGTCATGGATATTATTGGATGTGCCCATCTACCCATGACTATGTCAACATTAATGGTTGAGCGAGACTCGAGACAGTCGAATTTTAATTGGATTTAAGAGAGTGGTCAAATAATAATTTAGCAAAAAAAATTAATATCTCTTTTCCGACGAGAAGCAATAAGATTTTTCTTTTATCATAAAGGAATAGAAAAAATCTAATAATTAAAATATAATAGAAAATAAATGGATTATACTAAGGATGATGGTAAGGTCATATCATTGGAAACCAACTCGCACTACCAAGAAAAATTATAATGTTTTAGTCTCTTTTTTAGCTATAAATAAAAAAATAAAAAAAATAATTATATCAAATCAAATATATAATATATTCTTATTTTTGAAAAAAATAATATTTTGATTTTTTTTTATTTTTTTTAAATGTTATATCTTTTTCTATTCCTTGAATAAAATAGGAAAGTAGATTAAAATTATTTTAAATGTTACCCTTGATAGAAGATAAGATTTCTTCAACTATACGAGGAAATCTCTCTATTCTGTTGAGAAAAATCATTTATTCTGTTGAAGGAAATCCTTCCTCTTAAATAGGAGAGGGACATGTTAATATATTCAAGCTAAAGCTATAAAGCTTCTTCAATAATTATTCTTATCTTCTATTATTTTCATCAACCGCATGGTAAGATACAATATAATTCTAAACTAATTAAATTTATTTAAATAAGAGATAGATTAGATTGATCTCACATCATCTTTCATCTTAAAAAAAAATCAAATTTTTTTTATAAGAAAAAGCCATCAATGAATTAATTACTCATAACTAAGGGATAAATTGTGGTACAACAATAAGAACTATAGTGGGTTATCAACATCCAATGCTAAAGAAGGCTGGTCCGACCTTATCATGATGTTGGACACAGACAAATCCGACTTAATTTGGATCAAGATATTATTAATCGAGTTTGATATGAATACAAATGAAGGATTACTAAATGCATTTTTTTTATTTTTTAGGACCAAAAAAGAAATTGTGATTTGAATCATTCTGCAACATCTAGATATGATGCTAACACTGAGTTGCCTCAAGTCACTGCGAGACAAGGACAGCAGCCAGGACTCGGTCCTCAGCCAATCCGACGGCCGATATTTGTCGAGATGTAGATCCGTACTGTCAACCCTTCGGTCGGACGGTAGATCCTCACGACAACTACCTTGTCGTCCCAACCGCGTACCGCGTCTCGCACAACCGAAGGCTGTGGTAGCATGTGGACTAAGTCGTTCTCTTGTTCCCCCCACCTTCCTTTATAAAGGCGCTACCGCCACTGTCCCCAACAACAGCCGCGCTCGTCTGCTGCCGCCACCATCGGACCGTCGCTCCCCTCGCGTCCTATAAGCTAATGGCATTTCCCGACGCCACCACCACCGCCACCATGCGCCGCAGGGTACCGAAGAAGGGAGTGGTATTGAAAGCCATTCTGAGAGAACTATTGTGTTCCCTGCTCAGTTTCTGCTGGTCGACCACCGGTGATGCCCCGCATGAAGCTTGCGTCGCCGCCGAATAGCTTCTCCCCTTGCTTCGGAGAGAAGAAATGCTTGTAGTGCCCGCCGAAGGCCTGTCTGCTTCACTTGCCTGCTTTTTGTATAAACAGATCGATACATAAATGGTGATGCATTTTGAGATATATAATAAATTTATGAGCTGTCACTTTCCTTTTACTAATCAAACACGAGTCATGAAATCAAATTTGTGGAAGCCATCGTGAAGAAGTTCATCCTATCGTGAAACACATTAAAGGTTTATAAGATAATAAATCAAATTAACTATTGATTATTAAAATTTTATTTAAAAATATTTATATTAAATATAATAATTTTAATATATCGATGGGGACTATATATAAACCCCATGGATATAGAGGTTTTTGAGGTCGTAGTGAGTTTCTTGTCCTTACTCTTCATTGTATGATAACTTTATCTTTTTTCTTTATCAATTTTGATATTTGGTATAAGAGCCATGTTGAGTCATGACATCTTCCTTAAACATCTTTCAACTCTGATTTTTTAAAATTGATAAAAAAAAATATGATATATATCTTTCAACTCTATAATATATCGAAATGAAGGTTTTTCTAAACTCTCAAGATATACGAGAGTTTATAAAAGATGGATTTATTAAACCAAGTCCAATGGAAGAACGAGCAATGGATAGATAAGCAAGAAAATAACTCAAAAATCAAAGAAAGATAGAGAAACAAGTTTTATTCATGATTTACTAAGGGTTTGATAATATAATGTTTAAGATCATCGCTCCGATAAAGACTTCAAAAGAGGCTTAAGAAATGCTTAAAAAAATATTCTGTAGTATGGAAAAGATAAAAAAGCTTCATCTATAAATTCTACGAGCCGAGTTTGAAATATTACAGCATGATACTTATGAATATATTTTTTATTACTTCTCAAAAATTATTTTTGATATTTATTAAATGAGAAGAAATGATGAACAAATAAGTAATCAAAGAGTAATAGAAAAAAATATTAAGATTTCAAGATCTAAAGTTTGATTTTATTACTGTAGCAATTGAAAAGCTTATAACTTAGAATAGATATATTTAGGATAACTAATGAGTTTTCTTCGTGTTATTATAATCCTCGTAATCAAGATGATAAAATAAATTTTATTTGACAAAGAAGAGAATGAATGAAAATCCTATTTTGCTAATGACATATGATAATTTGAAAGAAAATTAATGTATGACATGGTATAAGTTACATGTTTAGCATCAAAAATTTTTTTTTTGAAATAGATATAAGTTATTCTAATCACATTACATTTAGTAATCTATCTCAAATACCAATATTTTCTTCAACTTAATAATAGTAAAAAATTATACATTTTAGATGATTATTATATTCCTAATATAAAAAATAATAATCTAAACTTGGGATAATTGCTGAAAAAAGGTTATTATATTTAAATAAAAGATATGATTTTTTAAATTTATGACAAGAATAAAGCATCAATCTCATAAGTGAAAATGATGAAGAATAGAATGTTTCCACTATATCTATGTATTTTTTATTTATTAAATTATTTTAAAATTGATATTAAGGATGATTATATATTATGGCATATTAGACATGCTGGCGTAAATTTAAGGCCTTAAAATTTATAAAAAAATATAATATGATAATAAGACTACCAAGCATCGATTGCTCATCAAAATTATGTAAAGTGTGTGTTAAGACAGAAGAGA